CGTCTGGCACATACAAATCAGATTTCTTTTTTTTGTTTTGTTTTGAGACCAGAGTCTCAATTTTATTACTTGCAGGCTGGGAAATATTCGCCTCCGCACCCTGAAAGCTTAGGTCTCTGCCTCTGCAGCCTCCAGAAAATGCTAGGATGACTCTGCACATATTAGTAGGAACAGGGCTACCGCCTCTGCCTCAGCCTCCCACAGTGCTGGGATTAGCGGCGCGGCTCCCGATGCCGTGTCCCTAAGTCAGGTTCGACAGACCTTTGCTTTAGGGGAGTTGAGCAGGGTCTTTAGATTCTTTGTTCTGCAACTCATTTAGAAGTACAGACTTTTCCACACCTTGCGTGTGGTGGCTCACGCCCTCATCCCAGCACTTTGGGAGGAGGCCGAGGTGCCAGGCGGATTGCGAGGTCAAGAGATGGGAGCCTACCCACCGGCGCAGCACGGTGAAACCGTCTCTACTAAATACAACAATTAGCTGGGCATGGTGGTCTGCCTGTAGTCGCGCTTCGCGGAGAAGAGGCTGAGGCAGGATAATTGCTTGAGCGCAGAAGGCAGAAATTTGCAGTGAGCCAAGGTCATTTACTGCCTCCAGCCTGGGGACAGAGAGAGGCTCTATCTGAAGCAAACAAAACACAACACACAACAAAACAGTACAGCCTGCTTTTCCAGAATAATTGGACCTGGAAATGCAGCGCATGTCAGGTGTCCTCTTAAGGGTAGAACAGAACTGGGCAGCAGAAGAGACACACACCCACAGAGGAAGGCCACATGGACGGAGGCAGGGACTGCTGGAGTGTTGTGGCCTAGGGGTGCCTGGAGCCCCAGGAGCTGGAAAAGGCAGGATCACCTCTCCTAGAGCCTCTGGGAAAAAAACTGGGCCAGTATAGTTGTGAGCCGGTGGCCCTCAGATAGAGCTGTCACATCTTACAGGCCAGAACCTAGAGTGAGACCCTTATTTGAAACAGGTCTTTGCAGAATTCATTTGTTAACCATGTGAAGATCAGATCTACCTGGATTCGAGATAGGCCCCGTGTAACTAGGTGTTCTTATGCTTAGGGGAGAAGAGACACAGACACAGAAAGGGAGAAAAAACACTTGGAGATGGAGGCAGAGACTGGGTGATGCGGCCACAAGCCCAGGGGCCGCCTGGGCCCCCCAGGACCTGGGAGGCAGGAAGGACTGCCCTCACTTAAGGCCTCAGAGGAACTGAATAAAAACAGTAGCCTCAGAAAGGTCCTAATACATCCTACAGGCCAGAACCTAGAAGAGTGAGACCTTATTTTGTGAAACAGGTCTGCAGAATTACATTTGTTAACCGCATTAGAAGATCAGATCTACCTGGATTAGGATAAGGCCCAAAATGCAATGACAGGTGTTCTTATACGCAGGGGAAGAACCCAGGCACAGAGAGGAGGAGTCACACTTGGGAATGGGGAAGCATGAACACTGGAGTAGCCTTGCTTCTGCCAGAGGACGCCTGAGCCCCGGGACCTGGGAGGCAGGAGGAAGGACCCTCCTTAGAGCCTCCAGAAAGACTGGATAAAAAACAGAGGTGGCCCTCAGAAGGTCTGTCCCACATCCTAAAGGCCAGAACCTGGGCTTTGGGACCCAACGCATGACCCCCGAAACAGGTATTTGCAGAATTCATTTGTTAACCATCTCAAAGATCAGATGTGCCTGGATTAGGATAGGAAAAAAAAAAAAAAAAAAAAAAGAGACAAAAACAGCCGGGCATGGTGACTCACGCCTATAATCTCAACACTTTGGGAGGCCGAGGCAGGCAGATCACCTGAGGTCGGGAGTTCGAGACCAGCCTGACCAACATGGTGAAACCCCGTCTCTACTAAAAATACAAAATTAGCCAGGTGTGGTGGTGGATGCCTGTAATCCCAGCTACTCAGGACACTGAGGCAGGAGAATCACTTAAACCTGGGAGGCAGAGGTTGCGTTGAGCCGAGATTGGCCCACTGCGCTCCAGCCTGGGCAACAAGAGGGAAACTCTGTCACCAAAAAAAAAAAAAAAAAGACTAGACAGAGGGGCCAATTGTCCTGGACATTGTCACCATGATGACCACGCTCCCTTCCCATGGGCTGCTTTGAAAGGCACTTGTCTTCCAGAAGCGATACGGCACATACAAATCAGGTTCTTTTTTTTGTTTTGTTTTGAGACAGAGTCTCAGTCTGTTGCCCAGGCTGGAGTGCAGTGGCGGGATCTCGGCTCACTACAACCTCCGCACCCTGAGGCTTAAGCAATTCTCTGCCTCAGCCTCCAGAGTAGCTGGGATGACAGGCGCCTGCCACCACACCCAGCTAATTTTTTTGTATTTTTAGTAGAGACAGGGTTTCACCATCTTGGCCAGGCTGGTCTTGAACTCCTGACCTCCTGATGCACCTGCCTCAGCCTCCCACAGTGCTGGGATTACAGGCGCGAGCCACCGTGCCCGGTCACAAATCAGGTTCTCGACAGACCAACTGTAGGGAGTTGAGCAGGGTCTTCCTAAAATTCTTGTTCACCACTAAACTCATTTAGAAGTACAGACTTTTCACCTTTGCGTGGTGGCTCACGCCCATAATCCCAGCACTTTGGGAGGCCAAGGTGGGCGGATTGCGAGGTCAAGAGATGGAGACCTACCTGGCCAACACGGTGAAACCGTCTCTACTAAAAATACAACAATTAGCTGGGCATGGTGGTCCCTGCCTGTAGTCGCAGCTACTTGAGAGGCTGAGGCAGGATAATTGCTTGAACGCAGAAGGCAGAGGTTGCAGTGAGCCAAGATCGTACTACTGCACTCCAGCCTGGGGACAGAGAGAGACTCTATCTGAAAAACAAACAAAACACAACACAACAAAACAGTACAGCCTTTCCAGAATAAGGTGGACCTGAAATGCAATGTCAGGTGTCCTCTTAAGAGACAGAACAGGAGACACAGACACAGAGGAGGAGGCCACATGGAGACGGAGGCAGGGACTGGAGTGTTGTGGCCACAAGCTCAGGGGTGCCTGGAGCCCCCAGGAGCTGGAAGAGGCAGGAAGGATCCTCTCCTAGAGCCTCTGGAAAAAAACTGAATTTAATTATAGTGTAGTGAACGGTGGCCCTCAGATAGAGCTGTCCACATCCTACAGGCCAGAACCTAGAGTGAGACCTTATTTTGATTTAATTATAGTGTAGTGAACGGTGGCCCTCAGATAGAGCTGTCCACATCCTACAGGCCAGAACCCAGAGTGAGACTCATTTGAAATGTGGCCCTTAAACTACTCTGTTAACCATGCATACTGGGGATCTACCTGGATTAGATAAATCAGTAATGACAAGGTGTTCTTTACCGCAGGAAGCAGTTACATTGAGACACAGAGAAGGAGGCCACTTGGAGATGGAGGCAGAGACTGGAGTGATGCGTCACAAGCCCAGGACGCCTGAGCCTCAGACCTGGGAGAGGCAGGAAGGACCTCTCAGAGCCTCCAGAAGGAACTGGATAAAAACAGTGGTCTCTCAGAAAGGTCTGTCCAACTGGTGTCAGAACCCAGAGTGAGACCTTATTTTGAAACAGGTCTTTGCAGAATTCATTTGTTAACCATGTGAAGATCAGATCTTACCTGGATTAGATAGCCCAAAAATGCAATGAGACAGGTGTTCTTAATGCAGGGAAGAAGAGACACAGACACAGAGGAGGAGGTCACATGGAGATGGAGGCAGACACTGGAGAATGTGTGGCTAAGCAAGCTCAGGGACGGAGCTCCCCAGGACCTGGGAGAGGCAGGAAGGACCCTCCTCAGAGCCTCAGAAAAAAGAATGGATACAAAAACAGTGGCCCCTCAGAAAGGTCTATCCTAAAGGCCAGAACCTGAGCGGACCTTATTTTGAAACAGGTCTTTGCAGAATTCATTTGTTAACTATCTCAAGATCAGATGCCTGGATTAGGATAGGCTCCAATGAAATGACAGGTGTTCTTATCGCAGGGAAGAAGAGACACAGACACAGAGGAGGAGGTCACATGGAGATGGAGGCAGATACTGGAGTAATGTGGCCACAAGCCCAGGGATGCCTGGAGCCCCCAGGAGGTGGGAGAGGCAGGAAGGATCCTCCCCTAAAGCCTCTGGAGGGAGCACCTCCCTGACACAGCTTGATCTCAGACTCCTGGTTTCCAGGACTGGGGGAACATGTCAACCCCCGATGGTGGCGATTTCAGAAGACAACCCGAAATTTCCAGAAAATTCCAACCCTCATCTTGCTAAATGTTGGAAGAAAGATGGAGATTTAAGGAATACCGTCCAGAAGTCGCAGAGTAGATTTAAGGCGTGAGGATACTTGACCCGTTTGCCCAGAGCAACAACAAATGACGCTAAAAATGCAGAGTCCGTCTTTGAACCAGAGGACACTCAGGAAACAAACATTCCACTGCGGGAAACGGGGTAATTCTCTCCACCATTGCGTGAGAGGCTGTGCAGGCCAGAGGAAGTGACAGATAAAAACAGGATTTTTAACTCGCACAGCGCAACCACAGGCTCTACCTGGACACGACCAGCTCCTGTATGACTCAGAGACTCCTCTAGACCCATAGCCGTTCCATCGTTCTACGGCGCGGAAGATTTCTGCAATCTGTCCCGTGAAAAATGCAGCAAGCACTTTCAACCCTGCCCCGAGAGCCCAGCCTCCCTTCAGCTGCCTTCCACAAGCTCTCATCCGTCCCCTGCTTCACATCCCTTCTCTGTCCTCCTCAGTAGACCACACCCTAGCCCAAGTCATTTTTTTTTTTAATATCAGCGTTTTGCATTTTCCTGCAAAGTGGTTATCATCAGATGAAGCCATTTATGCTTTGCTTTTCTGCAGTGAAGATGTCAGCATGCCCTTGGCCAGGTGCAGTGTCTCACGCCTGTAATCCCAGCGCTCCTTTTCTTGGCCGTTATTATTTAATTAATTGATTGATTGATTTTGAGGTAGGGTCTCACTCTCTTATCCATTTCTTTTCTTGGCTGATATTGGGAGCCCGAGGTGAGAGGATTACTTGAGGCCAGAAGTTCAAGGCCAGCGTGGGCAACATGGTGAGACCCCCCATCTCTACAAAAGAAGAAAAAGGAAAATATGAGCTGGGCGTGGTGGCACACACCTCTAGTTTCAGCTACTCAGGAGGTGGAGGCATGAGGATCGCTTGAGCCCAGGAGTTCCAGTCTGCAGTGAACTACGATTTTGCCACTGCACTCCAGCCTGGGCAACAGAGCTGGACCCTGTCTCAAAAAAAGAAAAAAAAAAAAGTGTAACCATTCCCAAATAGACATCTACCTCTTTTCTTGGAAGGATTGCTGAAGCCCAGGAATTTAGGACCAGCCTAGGCAACATAGCAAGACTCCGTCTCTTAAAAAAAAAAAAAAAAAAAAAAATACAGAAATTAGTCAGATGTGGTCATCTTCAGTGGGCTTTGGCCCCCTTGGAGGGTCCAGCAAGGCAATTTACGGTGGGCGTCTTGGGACATGCAGTATCAGTTTCAACCTCCAGGAGGGGCTGGAGAGTAAAGGTCAGTGCCAGAGGCAGAAAGTGGTGGGGACCCAGGTAAAACTCCAGACACTTGAGGTTCTGATAAGGCTTCTTGGTGGGCATGACTTGACCTCTGTCATCACACATTGATGCCAAGAGGAGGGAACAGAACCCACGAGTCCTTCGGGAGAGGACAATGGAAGCTGTGGGTCTCGGTTCCTCCTTGACTCTCTCTTCTACATCTCTTTGCTTGGCGGATATTACTGAATTAAATTAATTCATTCATTGACTTTCACTCCCTGTGTCTTAGGCATCTCTTTTCTTGCCTGGTATTATTTAACTTCATTAATTGATGGATGGATTGGTTTAAGGATTAAGGATTAATGGATTAAGTTAGGGTGTCTGTTTTATGCATCTCTTTCCTTGATGGATATTATTTTTAATTTAATAATTGATTGGTTCTCACTCTCTTATACATCTCTTTTCTTGCCTGGTATTATTTAATTAATTGATTGATTGATTTTGAGGTAGGGTCTCTGTTTTACACGTCTCTTTACTTGGCTGGTATTATTTATTTAATTAATTGGTTGGTTTTCAGCAGGGTCTCAGTCTCTCATATATCTCTTTTCTTGGCTGAAATTTTTAACTTATTAATTGATTGACTGACTGTTTTTGAGGTAGGGTCTCTGCTTCACATGTCTCTTTACTTGGCTGATAGTATTTATTTAATTAATTAATTGGTTTTGAGTGGGGTCTCAGTCTCTCATACATCTCTTTTCTTGGCTGATATTAATCGATGATTGGTTTTGAGGCAGGGTCTCACTCTCTTATATATTTTTTCCTGGCTGATATTATTTAATTTAATGAATTGATTGATAGATTTTGAGGTAGAATCTCTGTTTCAAGCATCTCTTTTCTTGGCTGATATTATTTAATTCATTCATTCATTCATTGATTTTGAGTAGGGTCTCACTCTCTTATCCATTTCTTTTCTTGACTGATATTGTTTAATTCAATTAATTGATTGATTTTGAGTAGGGTCTCACTCTCTTATCCATTTCTTTTCTTGGCTGATATTATTTAATTAATTCATTGATTTTGAGTAGGGTCACACTCTCTTATCCATTTCTTTTCTTGGCTGATATTATTTAATTCAGTTAATTGATTGATTGATTTTGAGTAGGCTCTCGCTCTCTTACCCATCTCTTTTCTTGGCTGATATTGATTGATCGATTGATTTTGAGCAGGGTCTCACTCTGTCTTAGGCATCTTTTTTCTTGGCTGACCTTATATAATATAATTAATTTTGTGGCGGAGTCTCACTCTCTCATACTTCACTTTTCTTGGCTAATATTATTTAATTAAATGAATTAATTGATTGACTTTAAGGTAGGGTCTCTGTTTTATGCATCTCTTTTTTTCCAGATATTATTTAATTGATTGATTGATTGATTGATTTTTGAGCCAGAGTCTCACTCTGTTACCCAGGCTGGAGTACAGGGATACAATCACAGCTCACTACAGCCTCAACCTCTGGGGTTCAAGCAGTCTTCCCAACTCGGCCTCCTGAGTAGCTGGGATGACAGATGTGCACCACCCTCCCTGGCTAATTTTTTATTTTTTTTTGGAGAGATGAGATCTCGCTCTGTTGGCCAGGCTGGTCTCAAACTCCTGGGCTCAAGTGATCCTCCCACCTCGACCTTCCAAAGTGTTGGGATTACAAGCATGAGCTGCTGTGCCCAGCTTGGCTGATTTTAATTTATATCTATTCGGTATAATAAGACTTTAATCACAAGTACAGTGTTTTCCTGACTTCTTGTGAGTCATTCTAGGCAATTATTCACCCTGAAGGTGGTCACTGGGAGCCTACAAGTTTTAGCCACCTGTTCTGAAAGGAGGGTGCTTTCCGAGACCCCTGAATTTGAATTTGCAGCTGGTGACCAAAGTAAAGGGAATTGGTGGGGACTGCAGAAATACAGAATTATGCATTTCACGGGTACGTGATTGCTCTGGGGCCGCCCTAACAATTTACCTAAAACTCAAGGGTTTAGGACAACAGATGTGATTTATCTCACAGTTCTGGAGACCAGAAGTCTGAGATCAAGGTGTGGGCAGGATTAGGCTCCCTCTGGAGGCTCTAGGGGAGGATCCTTCCTGCCTCTCCCAGCTCCTGGGGACTACAGGAGTACCTGAGCTTGTTGCTGCATCACTCCAGTCTCTGCCTCCGTCTCCATGTGGCCCTCTCCTCTGTGTCTGTGTCTCCTCCTCTGTCTCTTAGAAGGACACGTTTCACTGGATTTAGGGTCCACCCTACTCCAGGATGATCTCATCTCAAGACCCTTCACTTAATCACATCTGCAAAGACCCCATTTCCAAATAAGTTCTCATTCACCAGGGGATAGGATTAGATATATCTTTTGGGGGGACGAGATTCAACCTATTATGGTGAGTAACTGGAGATTGTGGAAACAAGTTAAAAAAAAAAAAAAAAAAAAAAGCACTGGCCTTAATCAAACAAATATCTTAGAACCAAGCATGGGGCTTTCATTTGGAGATACAGAGTCCTAGGGTGGTAGACAGGAGAGACAAGCCATCCTATCACTGCAGATGACCTGGATGTCTCACTCATGTGTCTGTCACTTTATTCACCCATTCATCTATCCACCCACTCACTCATTCAGCCTGTCATCAACCTGTCAATCTGTTCATCCATTTGTCCACCCATCCACTCATCCGTTCGTCCATCCATCCATCCATCCATCCATCCATCCATCCATCCATCCCTCTATTCATCTATCTACCCACCCACCCATTCAGCCAGTCATCAATCTGTTCATCCATTTATCTACCCATCCACCCATCCATTCATCTATCCATGCATCCATCCATCCATCCATCCATCCATCCATCCATCCATCCATCAGTCCACCCACCCATCCATCCATTTACCCACTCATCTATCCATCCATTCATCCACCAATCCATCCACCTATTTATCCATCCATCTATCTATACATTCCCCATTCAGTCAGTCACCAATCTACCTGTCAGTCTACTCATCCATCTACTTATCCACCCATCCATTCACGCCCAATCCATCCATCTAGTCACCCATCCATTTATTAACGCATCCATCCATTAATGTATCTGCCCATCCATCCATTCACCCACCCACTTATCCATCCATCCATCCATCCATCCATCCAGTCACCCATCCATTTATTTACCCATTCATCCATTAACGTACCCACCCATCCATCCATTCACCCACCCATCTATCCATTCATCCATCCATCCATCCAGTTACTCATCCATTTATTCACTCATCCATCCATTATTGTGCCCATCCATCCTTCACCCACCACTTATCCATCCATCCATCCATCCATCATCATCCATCCATCCACCCAGTCACCATCATTTTATTTACCCATCCATCCATTCACGTACCCACCCATCCATCCATTCACCCACCTATCTATCCATTCATCCATCCATCCATTCACCCACCCATCTATCCATCCATCCATCCATCCATCCAGTCACTCATCCATTTATTCACCCATCCATCCATTAAATGCACCACCCATCCATCATTCACCCATCCATCCACTTACCCACCCATCTATTCATTCATCAACCCATCTATCTGTACATTCCCCACATTATCCATTCACCCACCCATCTATCCATTCATCCATCCATCCATCCAGTCACTCATCCATTTATTCACCCATCCATCCATTAATGCACCCACCCATCCATCCATTCACCCATCCATCCACTTACCCACCCATCTATTCATTCATCCAACCCATCTATCTATACATTCCCCATTCAGCCATTCGCAAATCTACCTATCAATCTATTCATCCATCACTGCAAGTGGCTGGATGACTTCTCTCTCCTGTCTGCCATCCCTTGGCCACAAACAAAAAAGGAGAAGTCCGAGTCCAGCCTCATTCACAACATCATAAGAATCAAATACCTTCCACAAGAAGTAACAGAGGCTACTACTCAGGTTTATCTGTGATAACTGGTGAGGTTGATAACTAAGTGATTGGGCAGAAAATTCCATTGAAAACATAGCCTGCTGAGAAAATGCTGCTTTGTGGTGTGGGATGCAGTTTCCAGGAATTTATTAAATGCTGATGTGACAATGATATTTCAAGGAGCTATACCACCGCACATCAGCACGTTATCGCCCACGTGAAGACCAGAAAAACAGACGTTGTAAAGATCAGATAAAACGGAAGCCTCAAACAGGAAATAAAGATACAAAACAAAGATACGGGAGTGGGTCTCCTCCTTGAGGAAAATGACTTCCTTGCATTGCTTCTCATGCAACGGCCTTCCCTTTTCTCCTTAGAGTAATTGAGGTACAATTCAGAAAAGTGTGTACGATGCCAGGACAGGGCAAGCCACCCTATGCAGAGCAGGCCATGCAGGGAACGAATCATTTGGAAGGTCCTAGGAGCAGCTGACAAAGAGAGAGACCCAGGACTGTGGTCCTTATCAAGATGCCTCCAAGGAGTGGGGTCTTCCATTGACAGACTCCCAGGAAGCGCCCAGTACTGTGAGGTCAGTGATCAAAGGCCTGACCCTCAAGCATGGGGACTCTTCTCCTAGAGCTGCACCCTGAGGTAGGAGGTGGAGGGTTTTGCAAAGATTGAGAATCCCGGGGACCAGATCACTAAACTGGAATCCAATATGAGAGATGTTAATTCTCTCGCCTTTATCATATCCATCCATCCATCCATCCACCCATCCATCCATCCATCCATGCTTCTATCGGCCAGTTGATCTGTTCGTGCATCTGTGCAACCATCCACCCATTCAGCCAGTCATCAATCTGTCAACCTATTCATCCATCCACCCATTCATGTATCCATCTACCCACTCACCCACCCCTACATCCATCCATCCACCCTCCATCCGTTAAACCATCTATCCGTGTATCTATCTATCCATCCTCTATCCACGCTCCGTTTATTAACCCAGCTATCAACCCACCCACTTTCTACTTACCCATGCATTCATTAATCCATTCATTTATCCTCTATTCATTAACCCATGTATCCATCCACCTATCCAGCCAGCCAGTCAGCCAACCCTTCATCCATTAACCCAACCATTCATTAATCCATTCATTCATCCTCTATTCATTAACCCATATATCAATCCACCTATCCAGCCATCCAGCCATTCAGTCAGCCAACCCTTCATCCATTAACCCATTCATTCATTAATCCATTCATTCATCCTCTATTCATTAACCCATATATCCATCCACCTATCCAGCCGTCCCATCCATTTCAGTCCAGCCAACCTTCATCATTAACCCATCCATTCATTAATCCATTCATTCATCCTCTATTCATTAGCCATATATCCATCCACCTATCCAGTCATCCAGCCATTCAGTCAGCCAACCCTTCATCCATTAACCCATCCATTCATTAATCATTCATTCATCCTCTATTCGTGCCCATATATCCATCCCACCTATCAGTCATCCATCCATTCAGTCCAGCCAACCCTTCATCCATTACTTGTCATTCATTAATCCATTCATTCATCCTCTATTCATTAACCCATATATCTATCCACCTATCCAGCCATCCAGCCATTCAGTCAGCCAACCCTTCATCCATTAACCCATCCATTCATTAATCCATTCATTCATCCTCTATTCATTAACCCATATATCCATCCACCTATCCAGCCGTCCATCCATTCAGTCAGCCAGCCCTTCATCCATTAACCCATCCATTTGTTAATCCATTCATTCATCCTCTATTCATTAACCCATATATCCATCCACCTATCCAGTCATCCAGCCATTCAGTCAGCCAACCCTTCATCCATTAACCCATCCATTCATTAATCCATTCATTCATCCTCTATTCATTAACCCATGCATCATTCACCTATTCAGCCATCCAGCCAGCCATCCAGCCAACCCTTCATCCGTTAACCGATATATCCGTATATCCATCCATCTGTCTGTTCATTCATTCTTTGATCTATCCACCCTCGCACCCACTCAGCCGACCACCAACCACCGATCCATCCATCCATTAACCTACTCACCGACCTATCCGCTCATTCACTCATCCATCCATCCATCCATTCATTAATCCATTCATTCATCCTCTATTCATTAACCCATGTATCCATCCACCTATTCAGCCATCCAGCCAGCCATCCAGCCAACCCTTCATCCGTTAACCGATATATCCGTATATCCATCCATCTGTCTGTTCATTCATTCTTTGATCTATCCACCCTCGCACCCACTCAGCCGACCACCAACCACCGATCCATCCATCCATTAACCTACTCACCGACCTATCCGCTCATTCACTCATCCATCCATCCACCCTCAATCGATTAACCTATCTATCCATCATCTATCCACCCTCCATTCATTAACCCACCCATTGAACCACCCACGCAACCATCCATCCATTCATCCATCCATCTATTCTCTATCCATTAATCCATGTATCCATCCATCCATCTACCCAACCACTAATGCACTCATCCATCCATTTGTGCACCCTCTATCCAATAGCCCATCTATCCATCCACCCATCCATTCACCCACCCTCCATCCATAACCCCATAAACCATATTATAAAATCAAATTCACTCAATATTTTAAAAGCAAAATTAATTCAAATAAACAACCATGAACAAATCAATATTGTGAACAAACACAGGATTCCGGCAGTGCTCTGATAATTCCTTTTGGAGCCTGAAGTAAAACATATGGAAAAGGAAAAATTCATGCCCCTCTAGATATATTTCATGTGTTTTCTTTTTCCAGTGGGTTATTTTTTCCAGAATATTAAAATAGTTGGGAAAATATTACAACAAGGAAACACAGGTATATGACAATTCAGAGCATCGCTTTAACTTTTAAATATTTATTTTTTATCAAAACCAGACTTTTTAGGGAGTCATTCTACTTTCCTGGCTTGAATGAAAGCACACTTACCGAAATACTCTCAAACTTTCATTTTTGCTTATATCATTTTAATGGATAGGATTGTCATGTTTGTCAGTTTCTCTTGACCAAGTGACCATCAAGCTTTCACGTTTAATTACTATCAGCGTACTAGTCCCGTCCTTATTCAAAATTTGTATGGTTTGTTTCTCATGGCATTTTTGCCTTCATATTTATTGCTACTTATTTTAGTTTTTTATTTACTTATTTGTTCGTTTGTTTGTTTTTTGAGAAAGAGTTTCGCTCTTGTTGCCCAGGTTGGAGTGCAGTGGCACCATCTCAGCTCACTGCAACCTCCTCCCGGGTTCGAGTGATTCTCCTGCCTCAGCCTCCCAAGTACTTAGGATTATGGGCACGCGCCACCATGCCCAGCTAATTCTGTATTTTTAGTAGAGACACAGTGTCTCAATGTTGGTCAGACTGGTCTCAAACTCTCAACCTCAGGTGATCCGCCCGCCTCGGCCTCCCAAAGTGCTGGGATTACAGGCGTGAGCCACCGCGCCTGGCCTTTATTGCTATTTAAATATTGTGTGAGGTTCGGGCACAGCGGCTCACGTCTGTAATCCCAGCACTTTGGGAAGCCGGGATGGGTGGATCACTTGAGGTCAGGAGTTTGAGACCAGCCTGGGCAACATGATGAAACCCTGTCTCTATAAAATAAAATAAAATAATAAAATAAAATAAAAAATAAAATGAATGTCACACGACATGATCAGTCACGTTGGTTACTGGGTTTGGGGAACCCCCTCAAGTTTTATATCATAGACACAGCCCTCAATTCCCTCACCCTAGTCCCTCCCTGCTGGGTCCTACCTTCCTGGAGTTCCTTGTTGTAATCCTCAGACGTAGCTCTTTGCCAGAGATTCCAGAGCTTGACCCCAAAGTGACACGTTTTTTTTGTTGTTTTGTTTTTTGAGACAGAGTCTCGCTCTGTCGCCCAGGCTGGAGTGCAGTGGTGCGACCTCGGCTCCCGGGTTCACGCCATTCTCCTGCCTCAGCCTCCCGAGTAGCTGGGACTACAGGCACCCGCCACCACGCCCGGCTAATTTTTTGTATATTTAGTAGAGATGGGGTTTCACCGTGTTAGCCAGGATGGTCTCGATCTCCTGACCTCGTGATCCACCCGTCTCGGCCTCCCAAAGTGCTGGGATGACAGACGTGAACCACCGCGCCCGGCCCTGAGGCAACATATTTTTATGGCTTCCCCAAGGGGAGGCAATTGGAAAACGAAGAGAAATTCTCACCCGGTGCTTCTGGATTTGGGGTTTTTCAGCAATTGCATGGCCGTCCTTCTCTGTCACCTGACTTTGTGTGACTGCCGCTATCCGATTTTCACCAAGCTCAGAGGCAGCAAATCCTGGGTGTGTAGCTCCTCCCAGGTGAAATGCTTGTGTCTGTTTTGCAGATGAAGGAAATGGAACATGCATGTGTGGATCCTGAGTCATCCTATGAATGCATTCGTCACTCTAGGGTGAGGTTAGAAAACAAGTTGGAAGGCCGGGCGCGGCGGCTCACGCCTGTCATCCCAGCACTTTGGGAGGCCGAGGCGGGTGGATCACGAGGTCAGGAGATCGAGATCAGCCTGGGTGACGAAGCAAGGCCCTGTCTCTAAAAAAGACACAAAAATTAACCGGGACAGGTAGTACCTGCCTGTGGTCCCAGCTACTCTGGAGGCTGAGGCAGGAGAATGGCTTGAACCCAGAAGGCAGAGGTTGTAGTGAGCTGAGATTGTGCCACTGCACTCCAGCCTGGGCAACACAGTGAGATTCCGTCTCAAAACAAACAAACAAACAAACAAAAAAATTGGCCAGGCACGGTGGCTCACGCCTGTAATCCCAGCACTTTAGGAGGCCAAGGCCAGTGGATCATGAGATCAAGAGATCAAGACCATCCTGGTTAACATGGTGAAACCCCGTCTCTACTAGAAATACAAAAATTCGCTGGGTGTGGTGGCACGTGCCTGTAATCCCAGCTACTCGAGAGGCTGAGGCAGGAGGATCACTTGAACCCAGAAGGCAGAGGTTGCAGTGAGCTGAGATTGTGCCACGGCACTCCAGCCTGGACAACAGAGCGAGACTCCATCTCAAAAAAAAAAAAAAAAAATTGACCAGACGCGGTGGCTCACGCCTGCGTTCCCAGCACTTTAGGAGGCCAAGGCCGGTGGATCATGAGATCAAGAGATCAAGACCATCCTGGCTAACATGGTGAAACCCCATCTCTACTAAAAATACAAAAATTAGCCAGGCGTGGTGGCACGTGTCTGTAATCCCAGCTACTCGAGAGGCTGAGGCAGGAGGATTACCTGAACCCCAGAGGCAGCGGCTGCAGTGAGCCGAGATTGCACTACTGCACTCCAGCATCGGCGACAGAGTAAGACTCTGTCTCAAAATAAAAAATTTTTAAAAAATTATTTAATTAATTAAAAAGATGGCCGGGCATGGTGACTCACACCTGTAATCCCAGCACAAACCCCATCTCTACTAAAAATACAAAACTTAGCTGAGCGTGGTGGTGCACAGCTGTAGTCCCAGCTACTGGGGAGGCTGAGGCAGGAGAATCCCTTGAACCCGGGAGGCGGAGGTTGCAGTGAGCCGAGATCTGGCCACTGCACTCCAGCCTGGGTGACAGAGTGAGACTCTGTCTCCCCTCCGAAAAAAAGACCAAAAAAAAAAAAAAGGACAAGATGATCGTTTTTATGTTCTGTATATTTTACCACAATAAAAGAAGTTTTGGAGGACAGGGTAAGCAATGCTGTGGGGGAGGAGGGCGGCTTGCCAACCATTTCCTGACTCCTTCCTGTCCCATTTTTACCTAATCATTCAGCAGGCATCCTGCAGCCGCCGCGTTGAGATGGGCAGGAGGGATCACAGAGCCATTTACAGCTGCAACGAGGTGTTGGGGGCCACATCCTAGCTTCCTGTGTTCTTCCCGTAAAAGGGGTCTTTTACCGTGCCTGAGTCGTGATACCAGCCAGTGTCCTAGTCTTCTGATACTCCCGCCTTGTGGTACATGTGAAGAAACACCACATGGGGACCTGCTGGGGTAAACGCCGCATGGGCACCTGCTCAGCTACCCCAGCCTGACACCTGGACCTTCACAGAAGCACCTGAGCTCTTGCACCTGAGCCTGTAGGGAAGGGTCCGGAGCCCAGAGCTCTGAGTCCGACTGGCAACATGTACCTAAATGCCCAGTCTCTAGGGGGATTTCAGCTTTGTCGTTTGTGAAGGGAGACGGATAACAGCAGGATGCCAGATGAGAAAGGCAACCTGTGAACCCAGCATAGCAGTACAGTGGGCACGGCCGTGGACACCACACACACCATAGGAAGCTCATTTTCCCCGGTTGAATGATCGATACGACGTGCCCTGCTTAACCAGAAAAAAAAGCAAGGCTCCGTTCCATGTAATCCTTGCATCATGGTGCCAGACGTAGCCGTGGAAAAGTAAACTCCTTGATAAACTAATGAGAATTCACAGGTGAGTTTACAGCTTATCCTGTGGAGTCTCACTCTGTCACCCAGGCTGGAGTGTAGTGGTGCGATCTTGGCTCACTGCAACCTCCACCTCCTGGGTTCAAGTGATTCTCCTGCCTCAGCCTCCCAAGTAGCTGGGATTACAGGCGCCTGCCACCACATCCAGCTATTTTTTTATTATTATTATTTTTAGTAGATACAGGGTTTCACCATCTTGGCCAGGCTGGTCTTGAACTCCTGACCTCGTGATCCACCTGCCTCAGCCTCCCAAAGTGCTGGGATTACAGGCGAGAGCCACCGCACCCAGCCATCATCTTGTCCATTTTTTTGTGAGTCTTGTCTTGTTTCTACAATTTTTTTTTTTTTTTAGACAGAGTCTCACTGTGTCGCCGAGGCTGGAGTGCAATAGTGCAAACTTGGCTCACTGCAGCCTCTGCCTCCAGGGTTCAAGTGATTCTCCTGCCTCAGCCTCCTGAGTAGCTGGGATTACAGGGATGCACCACCACAGCCCACTAATTTCTGTATTTTTAGTAGAGACGGGTTTTCAGCATGTTGGACAGGCTGGTCTCGAACTCCCAACCTCAGGTGATCCACCCACCACCTCAGCCACCCAAACTGCTGGGATTACAGGCGTGAGCCACCACGCCCGACCCATTTTTTTTTTTTTCTTTTTTGTGGTAAAATACGCATAACATAAAAACTATCATCCTGCCCATTTTTGGAGAGCCTTGTGACGTTTCCGCATTTTTAATAAACTTCAAACTGCATCATTTCAAGTTAGCGTCTTTTATTTTTTATGTTTTAACTTTTATTTTAGGTTCCGGAGGTACGTGAGAATGTTATATGGATAAATTCACATCATGGGGGATTTTGCTACTGATTATTTCAACACCGAGGTGCTTAGCCCAGTGCCGAATAGGTAATTTACCTCCTCCTCTCCCTCCTCCCACCCTCCACCCTCAAGTAGCCCCCAGCATCTGTTGAATTTTTTCTTTGTGTCCAACTGTTAACATCATTTAACTCCCACTTATAAGACAGAACATGTATTATTTAGTTTTCTGATCGTGTGTTAGTTTGCTAAGGATAATGACCTCCAGCTCCATCCATGTCCCTGCAAAGGACATGATCTCATTTTATTATATTATTATTATTATTACTATTATTATTATTATTATTATTATTTTGAGACAGAGTCTTGTTCTGTCACCCAGGCTGGGGTGCAGTGGTGCTATCTCAGGTCACTGCCACCTCCACCTCCCAGATTCAAGTGATTCTCCTGCCTCAGCCTCCTGAGTAGCTGGGATTACAGGCGTCCACCACCATGCCCAGCTAATTTCTATATTTTTAGTACAGATGAGGTTTTGCCACGTTGGCCAGGCTGGTCTCGAACTCCTGACCTCAGGTGATCCACCCGGCTCAGCCTCCGAAAGTGCTGGGATTACAGGTGTGAGCGACCTCATCCAGCTGACCAAACACATTTAAACCATCAGATCTTGTGAGAACTCACGATCATGAGAACAGCATGGGAGAAATCACCCTCCATGATTCAATCACCTACCAAGTCCGTTTTTCAACACTTGGGGATTACAATAGGAGATCATATTTGGGTGAGGACACAGAGCAAAACCTGAGATTTGGGTGGGGACACAGAGCAAAACCTGAGATTTGGGTGGGGACAGAGAGGAACCCACATCACTAACCAAAATGCATAAATAAAATCAGACAAGATTCTCACTTACAATGGTGTGTGCTCACGTGGTCTTGGCATACCAAATACAAATGATATCAACTTCTGGGACTGCCTTATGAATGCTTAGCCAAAATTAAAAGCAGTGACTCTTTTTTTTTTTTTTTTTTTTTTGACAGAATTCCACTCTGTCGCCCAGGCTGGAGGGCAATGACACGATCTCAGCTCACTGCAAACTCCGCCTCCCAGGCTCAAGTGATTCTCCTGCCTCAGCCTCCCACATAGCTGGGATTACAGGCACGCCCCACCACACCCAGCTAATTTTTGTGTTTTTAGTAGAGATGAGGTTTCATCATGTTGGCCAAGCTGGTCTCGAACTCCTGACCTCAAGTGATCCTCCTGCCTCAGCCTCCCAAAGTACTGGGATTACAGTCGTGAGCCACCACTCCCAGCCCATGTATATATACTATTTACAATACAAACACCTCTTATATAAGCATATATTCTATTTCCTCTATACATACCTAGCATATATACATATATATGCTATTTATAATAATAATGCATGTCATATATACACTTTTTTTTTTTTTTTAGACAGGGTCTCATTCTGTTTCCCAGGCTGGAGTGCAGTGGTACGATTTCATGGCTCACTGCAACCTCAACCTCCTGGGCTCAAGTGATCCTCCCACCTCAGCCTCCCAAGTAGCTGGGACTACAGGTGCGTGCCATCATGCCTGGCTAATTTTTGTATTTTTTTTTTTTAGTCGAGATGGGGTCTCATCATAGTGCCCAGGCTGGTTTCAAACTCCTGGACTCACGTTATCCGCCCACCTTGGCCTCCCAAAGTGCTAGGATTATAGGCGTGAGCCACCTCACCTGGCACATATGTTTTAACCAAAGAAGGGACTTCACTTATATATTCTACCTTATGCACTCAGCCCTCCATATCCACAGGTTCCACATCTGCAGATTCAACCAACTTCAGATCAGAAACGTTTGAAAAACATAAAAACACAAATAAAAAACACAGTATAACAACTATATACACACACACATATATACATATATACACATATATACATATATACACATATATAACATATACACATATATACATATATACACATACAATATATACATCAATATATACACATATATAATATATACATGTATACTATATACACATATATAATACACACACACACACACATATATATATATTTTTTTGAGACAGAGTCTCACTGTTGCCTAGGCTGGAGTGCAAT